CATTGTGGTGGGTGAGGGGATGCTCTTGCTCTGCCTGGCCGGCCATGGGGTGTCGCAGATGGGCAGCATGCGTGGGAAGGCTGTCCCCATGTGTGCCGTCGCTGCTGTGGCTCTGGCTGCCAGCATCCTGCAGCTGGGGCACACCAGGGAGTTGAAATGTTGGGTGTTACAGGATGGGTGCTGTCACAGTGATAACTGTAAGAAATAAGAGTGCTTCAGTAGAGGAAAAAAGAAAATGCCTGGATCTTCCAAAATGCCTTGCAAATTTGGGGAACTGCATCCAGAGCAGCCGTGGGGGATGCAGTTGCAGAGCAACACAGGCACAGAAAGCTTTCTCTCTTGTAGCTTTGGGAGAGTGAAGCAGCTCAAAAGATTTTGAGTAAGTTCTAATGAAGAACAGGGGCACTGTGTCTGCTCCACATTTGATGCTGGAGTTCTGGACGACAACCAAATTAGCATTCATTATAGATCCATTGGCTACAGTAACAAATACTTTAAGTACCGTAGCAAGGAGTTTTCACCGAAATTCCCGTTATTCTCTTCTGAACTTCCCGCGCCAGAGGGAGCATGTGTAGAGTATGAGTTCAAAGAGAGAAAAAGATGAAGATGTAGAAAATACCTTGCTTTTGTTTTCCAGTTTCAACAAAATTATCTTTTGTTGCCTTAGCTGAGGAGGGGGAACTAACAGCACTTAGAAACAAGCTTTTTAAAGTGTCTTTGCAGAAAATGTTTGTATTTTAATGCTAAAATAAATATACCAAGCTAACTGGCTCTTTGAAAAAGTACTTGTTTACAAATTTTGAAAATAGGAGTAGCAGGAAGAGGAGGAAGGTTTTGCAAGAGGAAGCTAAACCGTAAACAAATAAAACTGACTATTCATAGCAAGTAATGAGTAGGTGTTTTTTTAAAAGCTAGTAATATTAGGTATGTTTTTAATATAGAATAGTTACTAGATAGCATGTCTCCAAGTGACTCCCAAAACAGTAGAATAAGTGCAACAACACGTACAGATTTTATGTGGTACACAGACTTGAAGTCTGTGCTTAAATGGATCTATAATGAATGCTAATTTAGATGTCGTAAAAAACAAACCCACAAATTCAGTCACAGATAGAACGCAATGGAGAAATTATTAAAGAGATTAAAAGACAGCATACAATGTGATGAAGTCTGGGAAGGACATGGGCCTGTATGTCATGGGACTGTTCATCCATCTGGGAAAGAGTAAAACTACATGGTCTTCTGCAGTGAGCACTGACTTGTTCACCTGTAGCAAAGCTGACAGAAATAGCTTAAAAAGTAGTGGACTGTAAGCAGTAATAGTGCCGGTTTGAGTTGTAGGGTTTGGGGTGGGATGATTCCCAGCATAGGTGCTGCATTCATCAGTGATTTATTCCACTTTAGGAACTGGAAATTCTTCCTGGCTTAATGTTTAAGATTTCTATTTAGTTTTCATGGATGAATTGGTTTCTTGGGAATTGTTCTATAGGGGGGCATTTGGGGTCTGCATATCTCAAACCCCAAGAGAGCAGGGAAGTGAAAAGGCTGTGGGTTCACCTCTCTAAGCACAGGTGTTCCCAGGGACTGGCTAACCCAGCCAGAGCCCTGTATTTTTAGCTTTCAAAGTCACCCATGCAGAATTATCCTTTGGAATCAAACCTTCTATTTCTTTCAGGAAAATGGTGCTTGTGTCTTTTCTGCTTTTTCTTTGAAAACAGGATCTCAGTGTAATTCTGCCTGCAGCTATGTCTCTTGGAGGGCTGCACTGCCCTTTCTGTCTCAGAGGTACTTTTCTAACACTGCTGATTTAGAAGACATCATTATGAGTAACTAGCATAAGCTTGGGCTGAAATACACAGCTAATGTGTCTGTTCCATAGCGTGACATCCTAAATCAAGTCCTTTGCCTCTGTGCATGTGAAATTCCCAATGTTTTCCTCCTCTGTGAGTTTCTGGATTCAGCCCTCCTACCTCGCTCTCAAAATCCCTTTGATAACTTCTGTGTTGCTGGTGGTTGTTTAATTATTTAATCTCAGCTTTTAAACCGTAAAGCCATGACAAAATTTGCTGTGCAGTGGATGACAGCATACAACTCCAAGTCTGTGCAGTCCCTGGGAGCCGCACCGGGTGCCAGCAGCCCAGCCAGCACCATGCATGGGCTGCCGTGTGCACAGCCGGCAGGGCAAGGGGCAGTGCTCGGATTGCTTACTTACACGGCCCCACTGTCTTGGAAGTGCCATGGTAACAGTGGTTTTGGAGGAAGATACTGATTAGTGATAGCTGAGCAAGCCAAATCAGAGCCTGGTTTATGTTGTCGTTTGATTCAGCTGCAGCAACGTGTGAGGACCTGTAAATTTGAGGTTTGTACCTGAGGGACTCCTACTCTGAGTGAGAACAACTGGTGGTAAGGGCAGTTTAGTAAAGCCAAGTAATTATCTGATAAACAGGGTCCTTATAGAAGTGTGTGAAGATTACATTGTCCCTTCTGATTTCTAAACCCTTGTCATAAATGCTTTAAATATGACAGATCTTACATTACTGTCATGATCTTAGAAAGCAGTCATTGCTCAACTGCCTTACCGGATTTCATTCTGGGTCTTACATAAACTTGAAAAAATGCCTAAGTGCCTGAGTTTCTAAGGTGCAAGATATCTTAGGGTAGATAAGTACCTATTAATAGCTGTCTGTAAAGGAAGTTAGATGTCCAAAATAATTTACTAAGTTAAGGCAAGAAAATCCTTATTCGTTTTGATACTTGGCTGTTTTGTTAGATTGTTTTCCATTTCCTGATTGCTGTATTAATCCTAACGTATAAACATTCAAATTATTCTGGAATAACGTTTACTGCATCTTTCCATTGAGCATGCTTTTCCAAATGCAGTGATCAAATAACCTGTAAAGTGTTTCAGTCTGCCAGCTCAAGAAGACTGAAAAAATAGGTGGTGATGGAGAGTGTCAACGTTAGCTAGATGCACTGTGTTTGGAGCAAATGGTAAAGAACACATTGAATTTCTTAGGTATGTGCTCTGATTCAGCAGAGTCTGGTGATGGGCAGGGCTGAAATAATTATTTTATCTCCTGTTGAATTGCAGTGAGGGTCAGATGCATAACTATCGCAGAGCTTTTAGAAATGCCAGTCTATAATCCCCAGATGTTGGGTCGTGAGGTGAGCAGACCACCAGAAGAAGGGATGATGTTCACAGCCCAGGTAGAAGCCTGCTAGCGAGCAGTGTGTTGCCAAAAGCTGTGAAAGGGTAGTGCCTGGCCTGCTGCGGTAGCTGATCTCACAAGTTCAGAGGCCAATCCTCTCATGATGTAGTGAAAAAGAAAAATCTCGCGTTACTGTTTGCCATACTGTAGCTGTGGGTGAAAAGAAAACTTGAGCCTCTAGGACTGGCAATAACGCCACTTTTATTAAGTTTCTATTGAAGGACTATTTTGAGTAAGAGAAATTGATGGGCTGAACACAGTAACTTTTAGTATCTCACTTTCAAATACTTAGTAGGCAAGCACTAGTGAATAAGAGAAGAAATTAAGCTAAGGTGTAGAAAAAAGGTTACTTGGCAACATCATAGTGTTTGTGAAGAGGAGAAAGAAGGGTCAGGAACTTAAAGAATTTCGATTATAGAATTTTCTGTAGGTAAGTCATTGCATGAATAGAAAAATCCTAAACCAGATTTTGGTGTCATACTCTAATAGGGATTGCCTAAAGCAAAACAGGGTTTGTTTGGAAACAAACTGCAGAGAATAGCAAAAGCATAGCTGCTGTGTATGAACAAAATTGGACTCCCCAGAGGCAGGCAGTGCTGGTTGCAGCTCAAGCAGAGACGATCTGAACAAGGTATGTGGTACTGATGAAAGTTAGTGTTAATTTTTTGTGTTGTCTGGGATAAACATACTTGGAAGTGTTGATTTGGAGACCCCCATGTTTACTATGTAACATACTATTTTAAAAGTTTCGGCTTAACCTTCAGTAGTTGGGAGGAAGGCACCAAATACAAAAGCACTATGGCCTATAATTACAGTTCTGCCCAGCTTGCCAGTGTGATTTCAATAGGTAAATGAATTTTCCCCTGTAATAATGACCTTATTAATTTCTGACCCTTGCAGAGAAGAAGAATCCATTGATTGTCAGAGTTCAGATTTTTGCAGTGGGTTTCTGTAGCAATAACCAGTTGTATGGCTCAACTAATCGTACCTGGTGCTTTGGATGGAATAGGAGGTGCAATACCAAAACAAAAAAAAGTTATCTACCAAACTGCCCCTTCCCATCCAGTCCAGCCTGCAGTAAAATTTGTTTTTAAAGTAAAGATCAAATTAAAGTAATCATCATCTTGTAGAGCCTTAATTTTGCAAATTAATTCTGCAGACCATGGCAACGAGATGTGGTGCATTTATGGTAAATACAGTTTGATTGGAAATACTTAATTATGGTACCTAGGAAAATGCAGTCTAACAAATAGTATCTTCTCCCACCTGTCCCCCCCCCCCCGCTAAAATCTTAGCTGTTAGTAAACGTTCTACCAAATCTAAAAGACTCAGTAAAATCTTGTAAGTAAGTGCATTCACATGGACATTTTTCCATTGGAGATTGGTACATATCCATATGGAGCTTGATTTCTTGAACCACTGTAAACGTCCCAGTGTGGGAAGCTGAATTGCTCCCTGGAAGATGCTTTTGGTGTTTCTCACCTATGTAGGGAGCTGAAGTTAAAGACTGGTGGAAGTTTTCACACAGTTCAGTGTGCAGTAAATACTAAACACTAATTTAGTTTACTAAAAGTAGTAAATACAGTTCAGTAAATAAAGGAATACTTCAGAAGTCTATATTTTCTTAGGATACGTGCTTTATTTTCTATTACTGATCATACATCTCATTACAACTGTGGGGATTTAAGAAAAACAGATTCACAGTGATGTGAGCTCATTACTTGTTTTTCTTTTCATTCAGTGTGGAGAGCAAAACTAATAAAACCTGTTTAATTTTCTTTTTACTTTCAGGCACCGATTTTTGAATGTCTGTTGTGCCAGTTTGTCCCAGTAAGTCTTAGAACAGCATTATTTTGGATGCTTTAAAATACTTAGAGCTTGGTTTTACTGTTCTGATGATTTGAGATGTAAGCGGACTGTTACTCTGATGTAAGTCCTACATACCTCAAAATTTCTAGCTGAAGCTAAGCTCTAACCATGATCAAAGTGGCACATCAATGGAATGGGTTGAAGTTTTGTGGAGCTGGGATGGGGTTTTCTGTGGTGTTAATCCAGATGCTGCGCTATTCAAATTGAGTTAAGTTGAGCAAATCAAGTTACAGAAACTCTGCAGAGAAATAATTGCTATTCCAAAGTAGGCAATGGGTTGCCTTTTGTATTTTAAGTTATTCTGTTACAAATTAGAACTTCTAACCACTAAGTATGCATAAAGCACTTCTCTTCCCTATTATTTTTCTCTGTTCTGCTTAAATTTAGAAAAGAAAAACCAAAATGCCTCAAAACCAAACTTCTATGCTGGATCACATATAGTTGATAAGATCAAATCAACAAATGTAGCTTGCAAGTAACCAATTGAACTAAATTTTTAACATCATTGGCTATAGAAAAAAATGTTTTATCTATGGTTGCTTAGTGCTCTACCACATCAGTTCCTGACTTTATAGATTTTGGGAAGATGAGCTCAGGATTTTGTATGAGGGTAAGAAGTTGTCATTAGACGCACTTCTGCAATTTCCAGGCTTCATCAAAGCACTCCTGAATGTACCTGATTTTGTGTAAACAAATATTC